GCAAGTAACAGAGTCCTTTGTGGATATCAGGTATGAGACAGGTTTTCATGTGTAGTACAGGATCCAGGCTCCTTTCTTAACAGTCACTTGCACCCCAAGTCTCATTCCCTCAGGGGTAGCTTCCATTTCTCTCCTCAGGGTTCTAAGAGACTCTGAGGTGCTGTGGGAGAGAGGCGGTTTTCTAGTATTACACTTCTGAAGCCCCCACTGGTGTTCTCTCACTGAATAGCAGTTGATATCAATTAGCTATGCAGATAATTTGCTTAATAAGTATTAACTAAGGAGTTATAGTGAAAATAGTTGGTATAAAACATCCTCTCTGAACTGGGAGCACATTCTCCAATAAATACCTATAGAACTGAGAAGAAAATGGATTCAATCTCAGACATTTGGCTAAGGGAGTAATTCTTTGGAAGTACTTTCTTTCCCATTGATGGGCCCTTCACGAAGTTCTCCTTAGGTGTTATGTCGATTTCTGCTGGACTCATGGTATGGCCAAGAAACTGCTTTTTCTCAGAGTGACTAGTTTGTCTTAGATTTCCTGTTGCAGTGACATAGCTAGGACACCAATGAGAAGTCCAAAATTTTCTAATCTTTAGAAATTCATAAGGTTAACCTCTGGACAGGGAGGGGAGAGTAGATAGAGGGTCTTTTTATCCTCCCCCCTCCAAAATGATTTTCTCTTGGGGACTGGCCTGCCACTTGGATGTTTGGGTTATGAACTGACTTATTTTATCCATGACCCACAAATTGGGACTGAGTCTTTTCAGCTAATCCCAATATATTTCCTGTGTAGCATCACCTCATTTCATTCATTGGCTTTTCACTCATTCCAGACTAACTAAAGACTTTTTGGATCTAATTCAATGCTTTTGATTGACTGATTTAATACCAGGGTTCTCAACTGACAAACATATTAATGTGCACTGCATATTAAAAATAATGTAAAAATAATATTAGTTACTTTAATTGGGTTGGGGTGATTAATCAAGTTAACCCCCACTCTTATCTATGCCCTCCACACACACACAAAAAGAATAAAATACAAAGGACTCACTGGAACCCATGAACACTTAAAAGATACATATCTACTCTTTTCCCTCTACTTCCCAAGAACTATGGGGGGTTGCGGGGAGGACATAAGATAAATCTAAGACTTTGTGCTAACAAGAGAGAGATAAGATGGAGGCATATTAAACAGAGGAGAGAACAAATAAAGTATATGATACTCTATCAAAGCTCCTTAGGAAGAGACCTGTGTGGGTTGGAGTAGTCAAGAAAGATTTCCAAGAGTAAGTGGGACTTGAAAAATGGATACTATTTGTAGGGAAAAAACTGGTAGGACTTGGATAGGTAAAAGGGGAAGGGGAATGGCATTACTGGATGGGCAGACAACATAAGTAAAAGGGGGCAGTACAAACATGTTCCCCAGATAGCACAAAAGCCAATTCATAGTCTCTCTTCTTCATCTCCTCCTTTGTTCCTTATTCTTCAGCCCTCTGGCCCAGAGGTCAGAGGAGTTAGCTTTAACACACCCTCCCTAGATCATCTACTTCCTAGCCTACAAGCTTGGAATGGAGCTGACTAAAAGAACTGGAAGCAGAGGCAAGAAACAAGGAAGTAGAAGTTGGGTTTGAGGGAGGAGGTTTGGAGACAAGGCTGGCTTTGTGAGTGAGCCCTAGGACACAAATCATTATTGACTCTGCTATATGAAGGGCTGGACTCTACCAATACCTTCTCAAATGAGATAATTGCAAAGTGCTTAGTATAGTGCCTGGCATATTGTGTTATCTAAATGTTAGGTTATTATTATTACCTCCAGGAGCAAAAACAAAGGGCTGTGTTTGGAATTCAAAGCCCTTCATAACCTTCATAACTCCTCTTACCTTTCTAGTCTTCTTGTACCTTACTCCCTGCCATGTACTCTTCTATCCAGTGACCCTGGCCTCCTGGCTGTTCCATGAACAAGACAATTAATCTCCAGGCTCCAAGCAGTTTTGTAACTTTCCTCCATTCTTGGAATACTCTCCTTCCTTCACTGCAACTACTGACCTCCTTGGCTTCCTGTAAGTCTCCACTAAAATCCCACCTTCTATAGGAAGCCTTCTCTAACCCCTCAATTCCAGTGCTTTCCCTTTCTTAATTGTTTCCTATGTATCCTGTATATAGCTTGCTTTGCATATATTTGTTTGCATGTCATCTCCTCCATTAGATTGTAAGCTCCTAGAAGGCAGGGACTGTCTTTTGTCTCTCTTTGTGTCCCCAGTGCTAACCACAATGCCTGGAACATGGAAGATGCTTAATAAATGATTACTGAATTATTATCATCATCATCATCATCATCATCCTACCACTCCAGTTGACAGTGCCTTAGGTTCCACCCCCATACAGATTTGCATTAAATCTCTTTAGGCATCAAAGTCATCCCTTAGGCCACGTCCAACTTATTCCAGCCAACGTTTTCCTCCTTTTCCAAGAAGAGCCAATTTGCTTACCTAGATGAGAGATGAGAGGAAGAAAATGGAGGTACAATTCTATAAAACTTTGGAGGAATGAGGGAAGAGAATGCTTGCCTCTTTGTTTCCAACATCAATAAATCACCAGACATATATTGTGATAAATCTGTGTTACCAAGTTCAAGGTGCCCAACTTTTCATAAAAGGCTGAAGGATCTTGCTGCAGAAAGAGAGCCTCTTACAGTAGTCCTTGAATGTCAGAGGACCCTGTCATTTGCGTTAGGGGCCTCTAGTTGCTGGTCAGAAAGCAGTGGTTTTAAATTTGAGAGAGAATGAATGTGTGTTCCACCCACAGCCGTTTGTCTGAGGACACCACAAGGTCTAACTTTGCTCTCCCCACTCCAGCAGGACTCCCACTGACTCCAGTGAGAGCCTGAGCCTCAGACCCACAGATCATCTACAAGACCAGTAGAGAAATAATGTCCCAATTGTGGCTGTGTCTGATAGTTGAAAGATGGGACCCTGGCAAATGTGAAGGCTTGGAGAAATATCAAATATTCTGAATTATGCACCATATTTCCTCTCTGAGTCTCAGTGTGGTTTCTGCTTTTAAAAAAAGTCCTAAGCTTGCATTTTTAACCACCCCCTACACTCCCCACACACAAACTCTTCTGGAAATGCATTTATATGTTATGCAGAGGTAGAAGATTATAAGGCACACACACAGTTTCTCTTTTCTGTCACTTCTTGGCTCTTGTGCATGAAAAAAAAAAAGGCTGCTAAATAAGGCCCTGTGGCCCCTGTGCTAAGAATTGCGATCTTTCTAAGGCCCAAACTTCTTGTCTCCATCCACCAGTAAAAAGGGTGGAATTCATGCCCAATGACAGACTTTTGGTTTCTACCAGTGCAGGCAAGGAATTATTCTCTCAGCATCTATGAAATCCCAGGATATTGTCTGATTGCTGGAAGCAAAGCCAATATTAGAGGCAATGCCATATAGTTGAAACAGATAGCATAGGACTCAGAGTCAGAAGATCTGAGTTTTGAACTGGATGTCCTGTAGACATCTCCAAATTGACATGCCCAAAACAGAACTTACTGTCTCTTCCTTGAAACCTACTTCTCTTCTGAACTTCCTTATAACTTACTATAAAAGGCACCACTCATCTTCCAGTCACCCAGGTACACAATGTTGATGTCACACTTTACTCACTTTCTCACTCACCCCACATATCTCTGATTGCAAAATCTTATTTCGACCTTCTCAACATTCTCTCATCCCTCTCCTCTCCACCCACAGGGCTGCCCTAATTACCTTCCATCTAGAGACTATTGCAAGAGACACCTGACTGGTTTCCTGCCCCTAGTCTTTCCCTATCCTAACGCATGCTGCTCATGGTTTCCAAAGTGATTTTTCTAAGGGTTAGCTCTGACCATAGCACTCCACTGCTCAATAAAGCAAAAACTGTCCCTTTCCTTAAGTGGCTCATATTCTAATGGGTGAGGCAAAGGGGAGTGGTGGTCATGGAGAGGCCACTTTGGTCCAAAAAGTTATAGGTACAGTGAATGGGGCTGTAGGGTGGGTAGAATTGTTGTGGGGGCAGATTGACACACTCTGTCAATGAATGATAGAGTTAATTTGTCATGATTTAGGGTTCCAGAACTTGGTATGGGGGTAAGAGGGTAAGAAAAGGTACCCACACAGAATCAAGGTAGCTACTTAGGAGAGGGAAAAAGGCCAAAGAGGAAATAGAGCATGGCTTGGGCTTTTCCTGAAACAGCTACCAATCTGGAAAGGGGCTTCAGGACAGAAATTTCACTAGGACAGGAAGTTAGCCTGGGAGAGGAAGAGAAGAAAGAGAAGAAGGAAGAGAAGGCTGGAAAGTCAGGAGTGAATGTACTCCCTTCATTCTTCTGCCTCTTGGAATATTTATTTTTCTTCAAGACTCAGCTCAAGAGACCCTTTTGCTCGTGGTATACTGTTATTTTCTTTGATGAAATTTTCTATTGCTTGTATAATTTATTCTTCAATTCACTAGTTTTTTAGAATTGTATGATTTAGTTTCCAATTGTCTTTTAAATCTTCTTAAAAGGCCCTTTATTGAGTATAATTTTTATTTCATTGTGATAAGAAAATGACAAATCTAGTATTTCTGCTTTTCTAAATGTTTTCGGCAAGAGCTTTCTGTCCTAACACAAGCTCAGTTTTTGCAAAGGTGCCATTTACAGATGAGAATCATGTAAATTCTTTTAAATTCCCATTCAGTAATTACCAGAGAGGTATAATCTCTAAAAAAAAAAGTTTTTTAAAGTTCTATTTAGTTCCTTAGTTTCTTTCTTATTCACCTTCTTCTGAATGAGATCTTTTCATTTCTCCCTGCGTATGTTCCCTGAGGGAAAGTGGCAAGGAGCCAGGGTGATTCCTATATGCACCGACTCAACTTCCATCCCACTTTCTACCTCCTGCTGCATCCGTCTGATCTCCAGTCTCGGACTAGAAAAAGGGCAATCCTCTGACCTTGTGACTTCTATCTCCTGCTGCAGGTTATCCCCTGAGGGAAGCAGGGGCTGGGCATTACTTTCATCTGCACCCTCCTGCAGTGCCCACCAGCCTGATCTCCTGTGTCCTGAGGTATGGAGAGCCTCTGTGTGAGAAGAGGAGTGACCTTTCCTCTTACCAGAGACCTTCCAACTCCTGCTGTCCCTGTCCTGAGGGAAGAAGAAGAGGAAAGTCAGTAGGGAGTGAGAATTTCATCTCTTTCTGCACCATCTCCTGCCTAATCACCAGACTTTGGAGGGAAAAGGAGTGAAACAGATCCTCCCATCTGACTATGTGCCTTCTATCTCATGTTGCTCTTGTCTCCAGCCTCCCTTGGGGAGAGATATGGAGTCCTCTACTGAATGATAAATATACTCACACCTGGGCATACCCAACACATCCCAATGATTTTGAATTCCTTTAGATCATCATCCAGACCCTATTCCTCTTCCCCCTACCTAATTCCTTATTCTCATCCCCTCAAGTCCAAAACAAATGTTACCCACATCTCCCAATATGCCCTTCTGGAATGCCTGTTATACATGCAGCAAATTTCCCTTTATTCAGAATTTTTCCCTCTCCTACTCTCCATCTTGTTTTTTGTTTTTGTTTTTTTTTGCTCCCCATTGCCACTTACAGGTTCTCCCCCTGGTTCACAGAGTTCAATAATCTCTGTTTCTCTGAGGTTCATATAATCCATATCTACCACACAAATCAAAATCATGGTAGCTATTGTCTATAGACCTCTCGGTCACTTCCATTTCTTCCTTACAGAATTCTTCTTCTGGCTCACAATTTTTGTCCTTTCCCCAAATCCAACCTTCATACCACGGGACTTCAACATACATATTGACTACCTGGCAAACATCCTAACCACTGAGTTCCTCAACCTACTCATATCCCATGATCTACTTCTCCACCCCACCTCAACCATATATAAAGATGGTTATATCTTTGATCTTGCCATCCACAAATACACTACCTCCATGTTCAAGAATCCTGAGATCCAGGGGAAGCTAGGTGGCCCAGTGGGTAGAGCTCCAGTCTTTGGAGTCGGGAGGACCTGAATTCGAATGTGGCCTCAGACACTTGACACTTACTTAGCTGTGTGACCTTGGGCAAGTCACTTAACCCCAACTGTTCACCAAAAAAGCAAAAAAAAAAAAAGGAATTCTGAGATCTCTCTCTCTCTCTCTCTCTCTCTCTCTCTCTCTCTCTCTCTCTCTCTCTCTTTCTCTCTCTCTCTCTTTAAGTTTTATTGATATCTTTTTTGCATCAGCCATCTTTGGATATGTCCTTTCCTATTTCCCCAACCAACGAATCTTCCCACATAACAAAGAAAAGCAGTTAAAACTAACCAATACAGCTATATCTTCTAATAGTTTATGCAACATTCATACCCAAAGTACCCTAACCCAAGGAAAGAAGAGAAAGGCTTGTTCAATTTGATAAGACTGAATTGTTTAAGCTATCTATTTCTTGTTTTGTTTGCGTATTATATATTTTTGTAGGATAATCACTTTTTTTAGTTTAAAATTATATTGTTAACATCTCAATTTGATTGAAACTCTATAAATTTTTATCTATAATCATTTAGCCACTTCTCTGTTTAGCTGCCAATCTCCTGTCTCTTTCTTCAGCAATTGTAAGGCAGATACCCTTTCATCAGGAAAGAGACCCAAGACTTATTACCTTTGCCAATAACAAAAAATGTTTGAGAAATGGCATTGCCATTGGCATCTTTTATGTGTATAACACAAAAGAGCCAAGATGTTTCTCCCTGTTTGTGATTATATCAATTTGACCCAAGTTAGCTCTATCAGTCACTATACACAGGTCATGATGAAACTGATGAAATCGGTAATCTTGCCAACTGCTAAATTGATCAGAATGGGGTCATTCACTTTGATGAGAGGATCTGGGTAATGGATAGTATGGGCATCATGGGTCACCAGATGGAGTATGCCTTTTGTACCCCAAAGATTTTTCTCACTTAGCACAGTTTACACTTAGCCTCCTTAACTGTGACACAATGAACAGGAAAGCGTCCCTTTGTGTCATAAATCAGATGGAAATGTTCACCTGTCTTCTCAATGCTAATGACATCCATAAAGTCAGAAGGATATATCAGTGTGGACCTTGCCATCAATCTTGATGAATAGCTACATGCAAATTTTCTTTACTTCATTTCCAGTCAAGGCCTACTTGATGATGAATGGAAGACACTCTCAGCTTGTAGGGACCTGTGGATGGTCTTGGAGCAAAAACTCCTATAAACTTATTCCATATCCAGTACTTTGGAGCTGCTACATGCTTCAGATGCTTCTTGGAACCATGAGACATGAATACGCTGTACTCAAGATAAAGAGAGAAATTTACTTGGCTGTAGGGTAAGAGGCTCTATCTACTTATAAATTATATGAGTTTGGCCAACTCACTCTCCCCCTCTCAGCCTCAGCATCTTTACCAGCAGCATGACCAATTGGACCCAGGGCCAGGCAGCAAGAGATCCTGTTTATTTCCTTTTTATTAAAGCTCTTCTTTTGTCCTTAACTTGCCCTTGATCCAAGATTTTTTTTTTACTATTTTTTCTTTTCTTTTTAATCCTACTTTCACATTATGCCCTCCAACATTGGAGGTTTTTTTTGCTTATGACTATTCACTTACCTATCCTGCCCTCTTATTTACACCCTCTCTACTCCTCCCTTATCCCATTGCCCTCCTATTTCCCTTTTAAGTTCAATGCATTCTCATGCCAAAATATCAGCATGAATGTGTGCATGTATATAATTATGCTCCATCTTCCCATATCTGATTCAGATGAAAATGAGGTTCATGGGGGGCAACTAGGTGGCGCAGTGGATAGAGCACTGGCCCTGAAGTCAAGAGGACCTGAGTTCAAATCCGGCCTCAGACTGAACACTTGACACTTATTAGCTGTGTGACCCTGGGCAAGTCACTTAACCCCAATTGCCTAAAAAAAAAAAAGAAAGAAAATGAGGTTCATGGGATGCCTATTCTCCCCTTTCTTCTTAACTGTATTCCTTTTATCTTAAATTCCTCTTTATGCAATATTGATTTCCTTTGCCTTTGTCTTCATTTCTTCACCAGTATAGTTTCCTGTTCTTTTCATTTTTTCTTCTTCTATGACCATTAAAACAGAACAAAACCATTCATAGACCCTCTGTCATTTAAATTTTTTAAATATGTTAGGGTTCTGGGAAGATTTTTTAAAATTGCTCTATTAACATGTAAATGATTCATCTCACGTATCCTGATATTTTGAAGAAAATAATCATAGATGGTGGATACACATATCAACAAAAATTTTAATGTGGAAGAAATTAGTTTATTTTGGGAAAGGGTGTCTTCCAAAACTTTCATTTCTAAGAAGGAAAAAACTCAACCTGTATTTAAAGTGTCTAAAGACTGCTTAACACTTTTATTAGGAGGCAATGCAGAAGCAGATCTTAAAATTAATCCAATGCTTGTTTATCAGTCTCAAAATCCTTAACCTCCTGGAGGCTGCAACCATCAATTGATTCCAGTTCTTTGGTACTCAAATAAGAAATCACGGATGACTGAATTTATTTTCAAAGACTAGTTTTCAAGTTATTTTAGCCCAGCTGTTGAAAAATATTATAAGGACAACAGAACGTATTTAACGTCTTAATGATTTTAGATACCGTAATGCCCCACGTGATCCTACTATACTTAGTTTATTGTGTGAGAATGTGAATATATAAATTTGCCAAGATGTGGATAAAGCTCTTGGCACAAGCATACAAATAAATTTTTAAAGAAAGAAAAGACAGTTATGCTGCTAAAATATTTTAAATGACAATAATGATATTTTTGTCATGGAGTCAGTGTGGGGCTATCTTTAGCTGCAATATTCAGTCATTTGAAAATTTTTTATTTCTCTATTTTATTATTTTATAATATGTTTGAATAAAAATATTGTTTCTTATCCTTTGCTATTACATTACATTAATAAGTAGATTAAAAACTATTTTAAAAAACTTATTGTATATTTTCATTGGGCTGGAATCAATTGTCATATTATACATATAATTATAACTTTGAATATTGCAAATTTGAATAATACAACCACTTCATGGAATTAATAATCTCCACTCGTTGGGACCTGTCTGTATGTACTTAGTTTTGCTTTATAGGTTTTCCTTGGTTGTAAACTTTTATCTTTTGACTTTTAGAATTTTGTGTTCCAAGCTCTCCCCTCAGCATGGCAGCTGCTAAGTCTTGTGTGATCCAGTTTGCTCCTTGGTAATTGAACTCATTTTCAGTGGGCTTATAGCATCTTTTTTCTTTGATTTGGAAGCTCTAAATTTTGACTATAATGTTCCTAAAAGTTTTCATTTTGGGATTTCTCCCATAAAGTGATGGATGTGGTCCTGGAGTAAGGAGGATCTGAGTTCAAATCCAGCCTCAGACATTTGACTGTAGCTGTGTGACCCCGGGCAAGTCACTTAAGCCCCATTGCCTCACCAAAACAAACAAACAAACAAACAAACAAAAAACACAAGGTGATGGGTAGATTCCTTCTATTTCCACTTTGCCCATTGATTCTAAGAGTTCTTTCCATAATTTCTTGAAATATGTTTTGCATGATTGCACATGTAAGACCCATATCAAATTGCTTGCCATCACAGGGAAAGGAGAGAGGAGAAAAGGAAGAAAAGAATTTGGAACTCAAAATATTTTTTAAAATGATTAAAATTGTTTTTACATGCAATTGGGAAGAAATAAAATGTTATATTTTAAAAAAAGAAATATCTTTTCCAGACTTTTTTCGTGATCATAGTTTTCAGATAATCCAATATTTCTCAGATTCTCCTTGATTTGTTTTTTCAAGTCAGTTGTTTTTGATATTATATTCCTGACATTTTCTTTATTAAATTTTTTTTAGTTCTGTTTTAACACTTCTTGTTCTCTTATTGGGTTGTTTTCTCTCTCTGATACATTCTAATTTTCAGGACATTCAGTTCTTGAGTATAATTTTCTACCGCCCGTTCTAAGGTGTCAATTTTCCTTGCAATCCTTTCCTCCCTAGTTTTCCAATTCTTTATTGTTGCCTGCAACAAGATTGTACACCGAACGGAGAGGCATGAAATAACTTGAGACATGGATCAGGCAGAGCAGCATTACTGACTCAGTTTATTCATCTGAGGGTACAGGATATATAGAGAAAATCTAGCCTAACTTCAAAGAGTCCTCCCTGTGAGATACTCCCCAAAACATCTGCTGAGAACATGACAACATACATTTCTTTGTTATCAGGGTTCTTAGATTGGGTTGTGTTTTCCAAGGTTTTCCCAGGCGCCTTGGCACCACCTGCATAGAGGAGTGAATGTGTAAATCTAAGGTACAAAGAGTGAGAAGGAATGTCTCAGGGACCTCCTAATCAGGAAGGGATTGGAGAGCCGTACCACTTAATCACAGAGTCCTTTTGGGTAAAAGCCTGGGCAGAGGTCAAACTCTGCCTTGGATCTTAAACCCTTATCAGACTCTTAAGATCGGCCCTCAACACTTTATCTCTTATTTCACTTTTCCTCCAGATATTACTGTAGTCCCTATGGCCAGGACATTTTTTTCATTGAAGTTTTACCTAAACTTGAGGATGCTATTCTAATTGAGGATCCACCCTCTTAGTGTCTCTCATGCCAAGGTATTTGCTCATGGTATTTGGAATTTTCTTTGATTTGTTCATCTCATCCACCTCAGTTTCTAAGTTGAGGAGTCTGCACTTGGGTAAAGCTTCCCAATTGAATGGTATAAGCAGGCTCTTCCTGTGTATAGTGGGCTATACTAGGTGTCTGCCTCAAGGGATTCCAGGGCTGCTTCTATACTGAACCCCGCCAATTCTTGTCACAGAGTTCCTGGACCTCCCTGTACTGTAGCACTGATTAGAGCTCTTCCCCATTACTGCTGGGTTCAGGGACTATTCCTGGGCTAGATTTCCATTACAGGCTTCAGGATCTCTTCCTAGGACTAGCTGGACTCT